CACAGAATTCCACTATAATTTATCAAAATTAGTAAGTAAGCTGTATTTGGGTCTAAAAAAATATGAAATTTCAAGCTCACTAAAGTTTCACCTTACCTTTTTGAATCCAAGCTTTAAAAGAACAAGACTGATGCTGAAAACTTCAATTACACTGAGAAAGCCACTAGGGGGACATTCTGAGCTTTCAGTTGGTTATTCACATGACGTAGACAGAAGTAAGTGTACGTAAGCATGTCTTTCCAAAAATGAAAAGAGGTGGACAGGGCCACTGTGTTTGTTCAGTACATGTAATGATGTCTCAACAAATAGAAACTATAGGATGTTCTTATTTCATATTCTAGCTTGTCAATATCAGTAATTTGAGTTCCTAATTCGTAAAAAACTACAGACTTTGTATTTGGACATCATCAACATCTAATTTGAACCAATGCTGCATTCAATGTGCTACGTGACACATTAAAATCAATATTTACAATTTCTTTTTTAATATTTACTTTTAAATTAAGAAATTAGATAATGGATCATACTAAAATTTAAATTATCTACATATATATTGATATACATTCATAAAATTGTAGTTCAATAAAATTTTGAATGCGACTTTACAAGTGTGATGACATGGCCTTTGACCCATAACCATAGGAAGACCTGTAGACATAGAATTAAACAAGAGGTGCACTTATAATTAACTCTGACTCTTCACCTAAAAGTATAAAGAAAATATGGCCAAAACTGTAGGTTTCTGATGGATACTAACTGAAAACTATCTACTAATTGTTTAATATCTGTGTAATTCTGCTCTTTCAAGCTCTAACACCATCTTAGATATGTCAATAAATTCTCAGTTTCCTGGCACAAGAAAACCTTTTTAAACCAGATAACCAATTGACAGTGAAGAATCAAGGATGTTAATTCCCAACTATTATCTGATTTGCCAACAAGAATAATTCAGCTCACTAATTAAAAACTGTTATTATTATGTAAGAGAATCAGACAAGGAGGCTTTTAATCCTTACATAGCTTAGTTTGCCACTTAATGAAAGTAAAAGTTAGAGAGCTTCTTGATGTCCAACTGGGGAACTATGAAAAACAAAATAATTTTGAAAATTTTACTTTTTAAGTAAAGAGGTGGAAAATGTAAGGACATCCCTGTACTACATAAGTATTGCCACAAAGTACAGTAGTGATTAAAATTATTTGAATATTTTATGGTTTTCCAGAGAAAAAAATCAGGAAAATTTGGTAGGGAT